GTAGGCCCCTTGGAGTTTCCACATGGTTACTTGGAATCAGGAATGGTGACTAGGCATGCTCCAAGGTAGAAAGTGAGGGGGAAGGTCATTGTTGCAAGGGAATTACGTCATTATTTTTCTGTCCTCTACAGCACCTAAGAGAGACTTGCACATAGTAAGCCCTCAGTAAATATTTATTAGGTGCATGAAATACTAGGTGTAAGCAAGGTGAATTTTAGTGTGTGTGAAGTGGATTTTTTGTTATTCTTTCTTAGAGTTTTTTCCTCAGGATCCACAGCCATAACAATCTCTACTTCCCTGGTGTTAGATATGAGTTCTCATGATCATGGTTCAAAACAGTTTTTACCACGCTTGCAAGGTAGTTGTAGAGATGAAGTGATGTAAAATTGTGAGGCTATTGCTGACAATATGCCTTCTTTGTCTGTTACCCTATAAAGCAAGTGGACACTAGTCAGTGAGTGGGGACCCCCTTAGGGGTAAATGTGCAGGCTGGAATGCTGTGTGTGCTTTCATCAGCCCCCATCAAGGCTTGGGAGGGGAAATCTGTGTGTTTGCCTCAGCTGGCCCCCACTGAGGCTAGAGAGGATTTAGGGGAGTGCATAAGTTGTGCTGGTCTCGACTGACCTCATAGAGACAACTGGTAGTTACCCCCCTGCGAGAAGGGCTGTCAGGGAATGCTGTAGGAATTGGTGCTCCCATTATCAGCACACTCCCTTTAAGACTAGACTAGAATTAAGTAAGCTTATTGAACTGCTTATTATGACTCCCTTCCTGTCTTCCTGTCTGACTGAATCAAAAACAAACCTGCTAGTGAGAGAGGTGCTAGAAGCCCTCCTGTGCCTCTTGCCTAAGAAATGGCATAGTCGGTGTGTTTACTTGTCCAACATTAAGCAATTCACTTTATTTTACTGAGCTTAAGTTTTCTTTATCTATAAAGTGAAGGAGTTAAGTGAGATGAGCTCTGAGAAATATCACACTTTAAAGAACTTCAAAGAGTATCCAAACGCTCCCATTAGTGGGAACATCAAAACCTACAAAAATAAAGTAATATCTATTATTCAATAATTGTTATAATCAATATAATTGCAGTTAGTGTGATTTTTTTCACCCTTGTTAAATTTCCAAATAAACAATTCAAGTCAACAAGCATTAATATGCAACCTAGGCATAGGTTTGCAGTTTTCTGACAGGTTACATGTGATGGTAAAATCAACATTTCCACATTTTTTTGTGGGAATGAGTCAGAAAATGTCAGAATGATCACAGTGAGATCTGAAGGGTACAGTGTCACCTGGTGTGTCCTAGCCTGACAGTGACCACATCCTATAATCTTGATAAGTTCTGGAAATTCTTGAGCTGCTTCGGGTTGTAGGTTTGATTTAAAATTGTCGCCATGGTTCTGGTCCAGTACAGTTCAGTCTTGGGCTGACCTCAGCTCCATGGCTGAGAAGGGGAGAAGTTTTAGGAGAAGGACAGAAATAGCTCTAAAGCTATCATCACAGCTCTCTGTAAGGTATCACCCCCAGGCACTGGGCCAGCATTTACTTGGCAAGGATCCGTGGAAATAGTTATTGGTAGAGAAACAGGAGGCTTAGTCAGCTGATGTCTCTGCTTCTTACACAATAAGCTCTACAAAAATAAAGCTGGGACCACCTATCCCACAATCCCTTCAATACACAACCCTTCAGATTAATTTTATTTATTTTTTGTTTTGTTTTGTTTTTAGGCAATTGGGGTTAAGTGACTTGCCCAGGGTCACACAGATAGTAAGTGTCATGTTTGGTCTGAGGTTGGATTTGAACTCAGGTCCTCCTGATTTCAAGGCTGGTGCTCTATCCACTGCGCCACCTAGCTGCCCTTCAGATTAATTTTAAACTGGTGTCATCTATATAAAATTTCTGCAAGGCAGTAATACAAATTGATTCACACAAGTGCTTAGTATAGTGTCTGGCACAGTACTTTATAAATATTTATTGATATAATTATAAAGCAAACACATCATTTGATCTTGAGTCCCTGTTCTAGTGTGAGGTTATGTGTGAATAATGCACTAGTGTAAGTGGATATGTGACTATGGCTCTGGGAGGCAGTCAACAGCTTCTGTCACTGAAGGATGAAGGCATTTAGGCCCAGACAGTGAATTTCTTCCTTTATTTCCTGCCACTACTAGATTTCAAACATTGAACCCCAAAGAAACCTGACCATTCTCTATAATTCTCTCAGCAAAGTGTAGAAAAATCCTTCTTCTCTTAATTTAACTGAGACAAGTATATGTTCAAAAGTTTTCCCAAGAAATTAAGAGAGTATTATGAGGCAAAGTGATAGAGAAACCTCATTCCATTGCTAGAGACTCTTTCCTTAGAATTCCATTTTCACCTCCTGAACCCATTTTGATGTCAAGGCCAGAAGGCCAACATGCTCCCTCCAGCACAAAAAATAGCTAGTATCTCTTTTCTTGATGCAATTAAACTCTTCCACATCTAGTTAGTAATGGGTATGTCATATTTAAATTCTGACCCCAACCCTTGCCATGGTTCTTTCCTTACAGCTTAAAATGTCTTGCTCCACAGTAGAAAACCATCACTTAAGAGGTCGAACCTAGCTGGCCACATTGGTGTGACAACAAAAATTTAACAATCAGCTCTCTGAGCGAAAAACGTACACAACACACTTTTAAGTTTAATCGGCATGACTAACATTTCTCCATCACTTTCTTAAGTGAGGCAATCAAGGAAACAATAAATCAAGCCCTGATTTATACCCAATTGTTGATATCCATGGTGGAATGGTCAGACTTAAAGATTTGAGCTGGAAGATCTCAGGTGTACATAGTTTGAAGGGTCAAGAGAAGGCCAGAGAGTCCTGGTTGAATCAGGGGAGCAAGAATCTGGTCATGTAGCCTGTGTGGTGATTACCTAAAGCTGTAGAATATTGGCTGTGATGAGAGATAAACTGGGATTCATATGGAGGGGAATCTGGCTGAGACAGCAAACCAGATACTGGATTCTGGAGCAGATACAAGTTTGGAAGTCAATATAGGAGAAGTGGGCTGAGAAAAGCAAACAGCCAAATGTAATTATTGAAAATTCAGTCCTTAAAGTTAAACATATCAGCAGTCACCAAGTATGGGAAATATAGTCAAAACATATCTTCTGTAGGTGGGGTGGGGCTATAGTTTTAAAGTTTGTGTAAGAAAAAAATCGTATATTGTTAGCAAAAGACAGATTTGAAAATCCTTTAAGTTGCCTTAAAAATACAATACATTATCTTTAAACAGTTGGAAAGGGTCCACCTTTAAACAGGTGGAAAGGGTCTAATTTCCCTTTAAAAGAATTAATCCACATCAGAGCTAAACTCTAGTTCTAGTTACCACATTTGAGCAATAGCTTTGAGAGAGGGAGAGGAAGAAGAGGGTGGCCAGATGTGCTGAAACAAGACAAGGCTCACACTTTTCAGAGAAAAGAAGAAAGAAAGAACCCAGAGGCCAAATCACTCCTTTTAAGGTCTACTGAGGGGTCAGCTCTTCCTGGCTCAGTGATCACTCTACTCTGATATAGTCAGATAAGGATTATGCCATATGCCAGGCTCTGTGCTAAGCATTGAGGAGACAAAGACAGACAAAAGGCAGTCCCTGCTCTCAAATCTAATAGTCTAACATGCAAATAACTATGTACAAACCAGCTATATTCAGGATAAATTAGAAAAAATCAACAGAGGGTCAGCAAACTTTTTTGGTAAAAGGTCAGATAATAAATATTTTAGGTTTTATGGGCCAAGAAGCAAAATCAAAAATATTAGGTGGGTATTTACATAATGAGCAAAAACAAATTTCCACAAATTTTTTTGACGAAATCCAAAATATAACATTACTTATCAAGTATATTTTAAAAACATAGCATTGAGGTTCACAGAGCAGCACACCAGCTCAGTTTTGTGCCACTCTGCCTCACTTAAATCCAATTCACACAAAACTGGAGACATCACCCTCCTGAAGTCATTGGTCCTTTCCAAAAACGAAAGATCATCACCAACACAGCAGCAGCAGCAGCAGCAGGCATTGTAAGGTGGAGACTATTTGGTGAAACCAATGGAGCCCTTTAGAACAGAGATGCCAGGTCCAGTGAACCCAACCAATAGAGATGACTTGACTAGCAAAGAGTAGATCTAAAGGCAGCCATATCATTACACTTAGAAGACATTAGGGATCCTATAATGCAGGAGGTATAAGCTGCCTTTCCACATATATCACCCATATACAGATATGATCCTTATGCAATTTCACTTTCCCTACTGATGGCATGTACATTCGTGTGCCCTAGGTTTATGAGAGGAGTGCCCTATTGCAAATCTTCTTACTACGTTAAAGATTTTTACCTTGAAATAATTGTGCTTTCCAAATGAGGGAAAAAGTAATTATATCAGTGGCAACTTGCGAGCTATTGTTTTGAGTGAATATGTACCCACAGACTACCATGAACCTGGGTAACAGTTTTGGGGACCCCTCTTGTATCATGGTAACTACATATAAAATGATGTTCAGAACCAAGAACCCTGTTGTGCTTTGACGATATGCAGAGAATGTCTTTAGTTCAGGGTACCAAGTTTTAGGATGGACATTAAAAAATGAAAATGTTCAAAGGTAGGGCAACCTGGCGAAATTACTGGAGGCTCTGCCAAACAGGATGAACTGAAGGAACTGGGGATATTTAGCCTGAAGAATAGTAGATTAAAGTAGGATTAAAATGGATGGAAGTTATAGAGGGCGAATTTAGGTTCCATGTAAGAACAATTTCCCAGGAATTACAGCTACTTCAAAATGGAACGGGTTGCTTTGGGAGACAGTGAATTCACAACCACTTTTGGTGGGGAGTGGGGGGAGGGCGTCAAAAAAGAACCTGGGTGTCCATCTCTAAGAATTTATTCTATTTCTGAGATTCTATGACTATACACGTTCCTGATTCCTTCTCTGCGCATTCTAGTTCCCTCTGTATTTAGCTGCCTTCAGGGCAGGCAGGAAAACAAGACCTAGTCTCCGTTGCCATGGGTTGCTATAACAACCGCTGCACGCTCAGCATTGCCTCCTCCCATCCAAACACTCTCCCCTATGTTTGTATCTTTTGTTCTTTTGCCGATTCTCCACTTCGGTCGCTCCCCACCCTCACCTCCCGCTGGGAAAGAAGATCCTGAGGTTGGAGATGAATTAGTTTAGGGCTGGAGGAGGGAAGGTGTACATTTAATGCATCTCCTTGGCGCTTGCTGACGGAAAAGGCGCAGCCCGAAGTGATTAAACACCTCTGGAGGCAGGACTCGTGGTGGTGGTGGTGAAGTCATGTCTGATAATGGCTCTGAGGAATATGAGGAGGAGGAGAAATTGCCTTATCTCGGGGTGAGGATGAAGAGTATGGATTCGGGGTGAGGAAAGCTGTTGAAGGGCGGAGAAAGAGGGGACATTTGTACCTGTCTTGTGACTTCAGCCTTGGATAGTATCAACAACTCTCTCCTCCTGGATGCTCTCTCTTTGCTTGGCTTATTAACAGTGAGAATGACATGGTTAACAGAGTTCTGTTCTGGTTTACTTCCAACCTTCCTGAAAACTATCCTGTTTTCTTTAATGGAACATCGTACCTTCCCTGCCTTCCTGTGTGTGTCCCAAGGATCTCTCCTTTTTTTTTTTTTTGCTCTCTCTGTATCTGTCTGTCTTCTAGCCTTCCCTCCCTCCCTCCCTTCCTATTTCAGTGATCTCTTCAACTCCAATGGGTTCAATTGGTGGTGTAATGCAGTGGAAAAAAGTGTTTAACTTTTCCCCTGAGCTTGGAGTCTGGGGGAGTCTGAATTTGAATCAGCCACTTGAGACTGAACCTTTCTAGTCCTCTCTGTGACAGGCAGAAGGTAATATGTCCACCCTTAGGAAAAACCCCTTTAATCATTAGTTTCTCATTTGTAAAATTAGTAAGTTCCACTAGATGACTTCTGAGATCCCTTTAAGACCTGGATCTATGCTACTATGACTCTATGCCAGATATCACATATATATACATAAATACATAGGGATAGAGACTGGACCTATGATTGATTGCATTCTATCAATCCAGGTGGATACCTTCTTGGCAATTTATAGTCTTAGAGTTTTGCCTAGAGCACTGAGAGATTGTTACTAGCCCAGGGTCATCCAGTATGTGTCAGAGGTGAAACTTGAAACCAGATTTTCCAGGCTTTGAGGCCAATTCTCTATCCACTACACCATACTGCCTCTTTTCTCTCTTCTGAACGTAAGTCCCATATTTCCAATGGCTTTCTAGACATCTTCACCTAGCATCTTAAGCTCATTATATTCTCCCCATCCCCATTACTATTCCTTCCCTATTTCTGTTGAGAACATCATCCTTTCATTCAGGTTTGCAACCCTGCAGTCACCCTCCACTCTTCACTCTCAGTTACTTCCATGTTCAGTCAGTTGCTAAACCTGGCCATTTCTACCTCAACAACCCTCACAACAACCCTGTCCCCTTCTCATCAGGGTGTTGTGAATGATTCCTAGCCACTCTTTCTCTTGTAGGACTCTGCTCAAAACCTTCAGTGTAGGTCTCTGGCCTCTGGTATAAAAAACAAACTCTTCTGGGTATTTAAAGCTTTTCACTATCTGGTTACAGACTACTTTTCCAGACTTGGATTCTCCTTTCAAGCCAAAAGGACTTGCTCATTGTTTCTGGAACTCTCCAACATAGTATCTCTTATCTTGGTGGTTTTGCACTGTCCCCCAAGCCTAGAACACGTTCCCTCCCAAATTCTTTTAACCTTTTCTTATAGTCTTAGGTGTCACCTCAATTGGAAGGCTCATCTGATCTCTCAAGTTTTGGGTTTTTGTTTTTTTGGTTTTTTGTTTGTTTTGTTTGTTTTTCTCTCTCCTTATCTTGTATTTACTTATCCAAGTGCTTTATCCCCATAAACTCTTTGAAAGGCAGGCAATACTTTTGTTTGTTTTCCTCTGTTTCTCAGTAACACATACTATGCTTTGAACGTAGTATGTTCTTGATTGACTTTCTTGGGTCAGTGCTTTTATCTGGTACCCTCTGCAGATATCCGGGGGTCAAGGGCAGGGTGGATTTGGGAAGGGATGGCTGGAGGGTTTTTTTGCGGGGAAAGGTATTTTCCTGAGTCTTTCCCTTTCCTCTCTACCCATCCCAACTAAAATCCCAGGAGATCTTGCCCGTGGCTAAGTGCACAACTTCAGTAGAAACATGTGCCAGGACTTTGAGACTGGGGAGTGGTATAATGTACAAGATCCAGCTTTTGGAGCCCTCTTTGACTTTTGATTTCTCCAAAAACCACAGTGATTACCAACCCATTCATTTCTTCTTCTTGTCTTTCCACAACTGCCTCCCAATCCCTTCTTCCTGTTCCTTCTAAGCACTTACCTTTTTAAATGTTCATCTGCCTCCCTCTCTTCATCCTTTTTCATCGCTCTCCTGCCCCTTAATAAACCTCCAGAAAAAGTCTACATACCGGTATCTTCCAGATACTGATCATGCCATTCTATTCCTTTTTTTAATAGTATTTTATTTTTTTCTCAATTATATGTCAAGACAATTTTTAGCATTCATTTTTACAAGATTTGTGGTTCCAAATTTTCTCCCTCCCCTCTTCCTAAAACTTCATGCCAAACTTTCTCTGGCTTCCCATTGTTTACACCATAAAAGCCAAATTAGTCATTCAAAGTTATCCATTATGTTTTTCCAGCAATAACCCCCCCCTTTTTTTAGTGCTTTAAAGCTTATAAAGTACTCTATAGCAATCCAATATCACGATATTTTAGAGATGAGCAAACTGATATTGAAGGTTAAGTGACTTGCTCCATCTGACCCAGTGTTTAGCTCAGTGCTACTATCTCTATACTAGTGCTCTCTGGTACTTCATAAAACTTGTTGACCTGAATTCACAAAGCTAAGAAAGCATCAGAGCTATGGTTTAATCCCACTTTTCCTGAATCCCAAACTGAAGACCACTGCTTCAAGCTCCTCCCTTCACAAATTATGCTTGAAGCAAACTGGATTTACTCTGTGCACCGAGAACATTTCCTACTACCTCCACGCCTTTGTTCACCACACTCTAGGTCTGGAGCGTTCTTTCCATCATTCCCTATCCTTCCAGACCTTGCAGTTTTCCTTCTGTGGAGCTCCCTCGCCAGAAGCCAGTGCCCGCTTTTCGGCATTCTCATAGCACTTTTGTCTATTCCCTCCTTATAAATAACTTGTATTTTTTTTCAGCAACTTAAGGTTTAAAAAGTGCTTCCCTAATGACAACTCTGTCAGATTCTAAGCCCTAAGGTTGAAAGAGTTTTGGACATGGACACAGAAAACAGGTTTAATTCCAGCCTCATTTTCCTAATTTATAAAATGGGAATGATTCACTCACCAATTATCTCAAACAATAAAGTACCAAATTAATGCGAACTATTCTTTGGTATTAGTTATTTGTGCATTCCTTACCTCTTTTACTCCAAAGCAGAGACCATGCAGGAGAACCTTATAGTTAGTCAACAAGCATTTATTAATTGCTTACTATATGCCAGGCATTGTGTTATGCACTGGATAAAAAGAAAGGAAAAAATAGTCCCTGCCCTTGAGAAACTCGCAGTTCTAACAGGAGAAACAATATACAAACAACTATTTACAAACAAGATGTATATAGGATGATTTGAAAATGATAACCAAAGAAGGCATTGGCATTAAGCAGGATAAGGAAAAGCATCTTGTAGAAGGTAGGATTTTAGATGGAATTAACTAAACCACTCCCAGGCTTCTGTCTACTTAGATTCTATGATTATGAACCCTGATGATGATAGGGTTCAGATGGAACATTCATATGTATCATCTCACCATATCAGAATATACATAGTTTATCCTTGTTCAATCCTTTACCATTGTTCAATGTGTTTTATCTTTTTTATGTTTCTCTTAAACTCTATGTTTGAACTTAGAAGGTTCCAATCTTTTCATCAGAAATGCTTAGAAGTCTTTTTCATTAAAGATCCATTTTTCCCCCTACTCAGGTTTGGGTGGGGATAAATTCTTTGAATAGATTGCTCAAGGCTGGAGGTAACTTAGAAGTATGATGTAATCAAAGTTCATTTGAATAGGTTGAGCCCCTCATTGTAATATTCATTCTCTCATTAAATGTTAACTAATCAGAGTTTATTGCCACCCTCGGGAACACCCTTTTTCTAATGGGCATATAAACTATAAGCTGCCATGATTGTCTTTGGTCTAAGAGAGAGATGGCCAAATGGTCATCCTTTTATTTAAATGCTGGCATTATTAATAAAATGATTAAAATACCCAGAAATTGTGTCTCTTGAAATTTTTTAAGTGCCACAGTCAAATATATGTGATCTCATTAATTTGGAGGTTCCTCCCAACAATGAAAATCACAACCCATAAATGGGAGCCCATCTTATGTGATTTTTTTTCCATATCACAGGATCATATATTTATAGCTATCTAATACAACCCCTTCATTTTACAGGTGGGGACACTGAGGCTCCGAGGTTAAATGACTTATTCGTGATTACAGAGAGGAAAGAGAGAAGGGGAAGGGAACAAGATTTATTAAACCTCTCCCACGTGCCAAGCACTGTACTAAGTGCTTTAAAAATATTATCTCATTTGATCCTCACAACAATCCCATGAGATAGGTGCTTTTATTATCTCTATGTTATAGCCGAGACAACTGAGTTAAAGAAAGATTAAATGACTTGCCCAGGGTCACACAGTTAATAAATATCTGAGGCTAGATTTGAACTCAGCTCATCTTGTTTCCAGGCCCAGTGCTATATATACTTTGCCACAGGGATAGTTAAGTGTCAGAGGAAGGATTTGGATCTAGGTTTCCCTGACTACAATTTCAGCACACAGTGCATTATGCTACCTCCTACTCTGTTCTTTGGGGTTCCTCACTGATATTGGTTACATATTGGTTTCAGTCTTGTCTCTTTCACAATGTAGTGAATTTCACTGAACATATTTTGTAGTGTTCCAGGAATTACCATGATTATTGTTGTTTAGTTTTTTCAGTTGTGTGCAATCTTCTTCATGACCCCCTTTGGGGTTTTCTTGGCAGAGATACTGGAGTGGTTTGCCATTTTCTTCTCCAGCTCATTTTACAAATGAGGAAACTGAGGCAAACAGGGTTAAGTAATCTGCCCAGGGTCACACAGATAGTGTATAAGGCCAGATTTGAACTGAGGAAGACGAGTCTTCCTGACTCCAGGCCTGGGACCCTATCCACTGCACCACCTAGCCCCACTGTGATTAGTACAATATTATCTTTCAATGGGAGTAATTTTATCCTTTTGTCATGCAGGGAGTAAGCTGGTAGTCAAATACAGTTTCTGTAACTCCATACCCAGTGTATTTTCCTTTACTAAGTCTCTCATTTTCTATGATGTTGACCAACACCTTTAGATCTCCTTGTTCTTTATCTTATTTAGAGTTGTTACCAAGTGGGTGATTGAACAAAGTTATCTCTGCGGTTTTGTGTATTATATAATTTTTGTACATTTTGTGCATAAAATCTTGCAAAATTTTTACACATGCGTGGGAGACCCCTTGACTGTGGAAAGTCTTCAGTTCTGCCTTTTCTTTTACTAAGTTAAATGCCTTCATAAAACCAGTAAACAATGGAGGAGCTTTTAAATTCACTATACCTCACTCAATTGTACAACTCTCAGGAAAGAATCTGATATCAGTTGTCTAAGCTTTATGGTGAGTTCAAGGCACTGTGTTATCTCTGCGTGAAAATTTAGACTTTATTTCTAATTGTGATGTGAAGAGCTTTATCTAAAGTAAAAGGAATTTCAGGCATTAATGAGCATGTGGAAAAGATATTTTGGGGAATAGGAGAGCCTTCTAAGAATCCCTGAAATTATAAAAGATAGGCTACTTCCTCTAGTTACTCATAAAGCCAACTCTGCTAATATTTCATACATTCAATATTTTAAAAATTCTTTTTAATAACTTAATTTTCATAGACTCACCTGTTTAATAAAGCATTTCACTTTGATTATCTAATTTCCTCAGGAATATGAAGGAGAACGCAATGAGCAAGGTGAACGGCATGGAACTGGGAAAGCAACATTGCCCAATGGGGATACATATGAAGGGCAATATGAACATGGTAAAAGACATGGTCAGGTAAGAATAAATGTATTAGGTGAAATTTTTCTTCTAAAAATTGCATCTAAAAATTTTTAGGGCATATTTTAACTTAGGAGTGACAAGAAAAAATATGTTTCAGGGGACCTACAAATTTAAGAATGGTGCTCGATACATTGGAGAATACCAAGAAAATAAAAAACACGGCCAAGGCACTTTTTTCTATGCAGATGGATCACAATATGAAGGTAAAATTGAATCCTAAGTTAAATATTATTGTTTCAACGTAAGAAAACTAGTTTGGTCTTTTTGTTTTGTTTTGTTTTTGATTACTGAGCTTATCTATAAATACGGAAGCACATGAAGGAAGCTCCAGATTCTTTGGTTCAATCGGTCAACTGCCTTTTATTGAGTATCTGTTATATACATGGCATTATACTATCCACTGTGGGAGATACTAGATAAATAAAAATGTAGTCCCTTCCTTCACGGACTTTGCAATCTAGCCAGTAAAAGAGAGAGAGAGAGACAGAGACAGAGATAGAGACAGAGAGACAGAGACACAGAGAGAGTAATGTAAGGCACTTTGTTAATAAATGCCAAAAAAAAAATCATTACTTTAAAAATTCATTTTGGGTTGGTGTGATCATAAAACACTTTTCAGAGAAGTAAAGTATGGAGTGAGTATGGAGCATTAGCTAGAGTATAAGTGTGGAGTATTATCTGCAGTATGAGTGTGGGGAATGACACAAGCAAAGCATTAGTTGGAGATATTGGAGAGTAATAATAGTTTGACTGAAACAGAGTGTTCATGTTAGGAAATAATGGGAGAAAAAAAAACCAGAAAGTTCTACTGGGGCTAGATTGTGCCCTCCAATACCAGGCTAAGGAGTTTGAAGACATCATCTAGTAAGTAGTGAGAAACAATTGAAGGATTTGGGGCAAATAATTGACATAATCTATGAGGTATTTTAGGATGATTCTTACCCAGCTGGAAGAAATGAATGCTGAGCTTCTAATACACATTAAAAGCAGGATACAGTTTTGATGAAGGTATTTATGAAAATATTTATTTATTTATTTATTTGAATTAATTTATTTACGCTGAAGTTTTCTTTCACCTAAAAGAAAGTCATCAGGTAAATCCTTTACTTGTCTTACTAATAATTTCACCTTTACTGTCAAAGATAATCAGACAATAAGCATTTATTAAGCACCTTCTATAGGACAGGCATTGTGCTAAATACTGGGGATATAAAGAAAGGCAAAACACAGGCCCTGCCCTCAAGGAGCTCACAGTCTAATGGGTATATTCTAAAGGTAGAGAAAGTATAAAGGCAATTACCTTCTAAATCTAATTTTGACCAACAAAGAACTTGTTGGTGAAGAAGAAATGTCAAGAACTATGGAAGGACATAATTATACTATTTTCAACTCAACACATCCAAAAGATAAGGCATTATTTTTAACTGTAAATCCACCCCTGGCCCTAATTTCCCTATTTTGTTTAGGGTGTCACTATCTTTCCAGGCATTCAGACTTACAGCCTTGGAATAATCCTTGATATCTCATTCTCCACATCACTTATAACCATGTCTTGCGGATTCTACATCCACGTCTCTGATATCTGTCCTCTTATCTCTACTTGCCCAAACTATTTCCAATAATCTTCTGATTATTTTCCTTTCCTCAAGTCTCCCTCCTTTTCAGCACATCCTTCTGGATGTCATATAGCTCCCCAAGTTAATACTCCCAAAGTATGGCTCTCTCTTGCTCAAAAAGATCCGTTGCTCCTACGGTCAAATACGGGGTCTTACATTTTGCTTTTAAAACTCTTCACAATCTAAATCCAGCCTACCTTTCCAGGCTTATTACTCATTACTCTCCTTCATAAGCTCTATGTTGCAGCCAAAATGGCCTTTTTGTTGGTTCATATTCAAACTGTTACATTTCCATATCTGCGCCTCTTCTGTCTGCTGTGCCTCTTTCTTCACCTCGACTTCCTGGAATTCACAGTTGACCTTCCAAATTCAACTCAGGCTTCACCTCCTACATGAGACCTTTCTTGATGCTAATACCTCCCTCCTCTGCCAAAATTTCCTTGTGTTTACTTTGTACGTATAATATGTATGTATATATGCATAGTAAATAATCATATATACATTTAAAATTTTTTTTATTGACCTTTTGTTTTTTATATCACCATCATTTCTTTTTTGGACTATTTTATCATTTTTACTTTTCAAGTAACAGTGTTTATTTTATTAATCTGTCTCTCCTACTGCCACTAATTCTCATTCCTCCACTGAGCAAAAACAAAAACAAATCTCTCAATATAGAACTGTACATCCCATCAAAAAAAAAGTTCCCACATGAACAGTGTCTAAAAATATGTGTTTCTTTCTACATTTTAAGTTTCTTACTTCTATCAGGAATGAGTGCCATGTTTCTTCTTCATTTTTTGGACTCTTGATTTATCATGGTGTTGGTCAAAGTTCTAGAATCTTTCGAAGTTGTTTTTCTCTGTAGTGCTGTTAATCATTGCATAATTTGTCCTAATAGCTCTATTTACTTGACTCTGCATCAGTTAATAAAGGTCTTCCCAGTGTCCTCTGAAATTATACATTTCATCATTAATCATTGCTTAAAAATTGTACATTTCATTATTTCTTATTACGTACATATACATAAATATCACACGTTTCTGTTTTTTGTTTATTTGTTTGTTTTTTGGTGAGGCAGTCGGGGTTAAGTGACTTGCCCAGGGTCACACAGCTAGTGTCAAGTATCTGAAGCTGGATTTGAACTTAGGTCCTCCTGACTCCAGGGTCAGTGCTCTATCCACTGCACCACCTAGCTGCCCCTTCACACATTTCTTAGTCTCTAATTTTTGACTACCATAAAAAGAGCTGCTATAAGTGTTTTTATGTAAATGGATCCATTTCCTCTTTCTTTGATTTCTTTGGGATATGGGCCTACTAGAGTATAGCTGGGCAAAAGTATTATTTGGTACCTTCTTGGACATAGTTCTTCTCTGCTTCCCAGACTGGCTAAACCAATTCACAATTCCACCAACTCTGCACTCCTGCTTCTGTTTTCCCACAGATATGCATATCTATATCCAAAAGATATACGGTGGAACCCCAAAGTTCTTTAAATTTGCATTTCTCTTAGTAATTTATAACATTTTGCATATGATAGTTGGTAGAGTGGATTTTTTCCTTTGAAAAATGCTTGTTCATATCCTTTGACAATTTATCTGTTGGGGAATGGCTCTTAATCTTATAAATTTAAATCAATGCCTTATATATCTTACAAATTAGACCTTTATCAGAGAAACTTTTTGCAAATATTTCTCTGCTACTTGCTTCCTTTTCTATTTTTTTTTACTATATTAGATTTGTGTTGCAAAAACTTAAATTTTACATAATAAATATTGTCCGTTTTATTTAATGTGATGTTCTCTATCACTTATTTAGTCATGGATTCTTTCCTATCTATAGATCAAAAAGGTAATTTCTTCCTTGCTGCTCTAGTTATGGATCTCTCCATTTAGAACATATCTTGGCTTATGGTGTGAAGTGTAGGTCAAAAACTAATTTTCTTCCAAACTGATTATACAGTTTTATTAGCATCTGTCTTTGAGTCCTTTCTCCAAGCAACTGGGGTTTTTGAGTTTATCAAACATTTTGTTACTCTCCTTCTGTATGTTGTATAGAATAGTCTGTTCTCTCATCAACACCTCTGTCTCTGTCTCTCTCCTAGTAACAAATAATTTTAATGATTACTGCTTTGTTTGAGATGTGGTACTGATAGACTTCCTCCTTCCTTTTCACTTTTCTTTCATTATTACCTTTGAGGTCCTTGACCTTTTGTTTCTCTATATCAATTTCATTATTTTTTCTATATCTATGAAATTTTCTTAGAGGTATTTGATTGGTGTAGCTCTAAATAAGTAAATTAAGACAGCAGTCATTTTTATCATATTGATTCTACTTGCTTGTAAAATCAACAGTAAAGCATGTATTTAGTATTTAGCATTTAGACCAGTATTAGACCAGTCTTTACTTCAACAAAGAATATTTTATAGTTGGATTCATATAATCCATGGGTGAAGTTTGGTAGATACACTCTCACATATTTTACATCTTGTGTAGTTATTTTTAACAGAACTTCTCCTGTTTCTTCTTGGGTTTTATTAGTTGTATTATATAGGAATGCTGATATTTTATATGTATTTACTCATATCTTGCAACGATGCTTAAGTTACTATTTAAATTAATCTTAGTTGCCTCTCTAAGGTTCTAAGTACACCATCATGTCATCTGCAAAAAAAAAAAAAGGCAATTTTTTTCCTTGGTATCCATGCTCATTCCCTTGGTTTCCTTTTCTTGTCTTATTGCCATAGCTAGCATTTCTCACTCTATACCAAATAGAAATGGTGATAATGAACATCCTTGCTTTACTGTTGATTTTACTGGAAATGGGAAAGGCTTATAACTTTTCTCCATTAAAATTAAGAAAGAGTCCATTTATTCTTAAGGTTGTCAGAGTTTTAATAGGAATGAGTGTTGAATTTTGTCAAATGCCTTTTCAGAATCTATTGATCTAATCTAATTTTATTATTTATATCATTAATATGGTTTATCATATTTATAGTCTTCCTTATGTCGAACCAACTCTGCACTGTTCAAATTTGTCATACTATATATCTTTATGATACTTAGCTGTAATTTATTTGCTAAAAATTTTAATTAAATTTTTTAATTAAATTTTAAATTTTAATTAAATTTCCCCTCATCTTGTCTTTTTGTACATTTCTCCCCTTTTTTCCCCACCTCCCTCTGTACAAATAAGAAGGTGGTCAAAGAGAATGTGAAAAAACATGTTTCTTCACTGGTGCAGCTATTCCTTTCCTCTTATCTTAGCCCTGATCCTAGGTTTTTAATCCTTCTGCCTTTCATTTTAATCTTCTTTTCATATTCCTCCTTCCAGTATTTAAGTTTGTTTTACTTATTCCTTTACTTATTCTTCCCTCCCTCTGAGACTCCCTTCTATCACTCTCTTGTTCCTGTACCCTCCTATTTCTATTTTGAGTGTATTATATTCTTTACTGAAATTTTTTAAAGTGTGAGTTTAATTACAATTATGTTCAATCTTCCTTTTTATGATTCAGATGAAAATGAGGATCACCGGATGCCCATTTTCTCCCAACTCTTCCTCCATGGTTATATTCTTTTCATCTTGTGCACCTCTATTATACAATAATGATTTCCCTTCTCTTTTTCCTCCTTGGTATAGTCCCCTGTCCCTCCAATTTTTGTCTTTTCCCAAGATTATTAAAACAGAACAAAACCATCATAGATCCTTCTATCATTTAAACCTTTCTTCATGACCCTTAAAGATATTAAGGTTCTTTGAAGACATTTGTTTCTTATCATCCCATCAACATGTAAACAATTTATCCCTGCATATTTCCTTTTAATTAAACCTTTCTATGTTGCTTTTGGCAACTGAATTTCCATTTCAAAATGTCTACCAAATTCTGGCTTTTTCATCAAGACATGCTCGAAAATCTTCTATTGTTGTCAAACAATGGGTATGGGTACCAAATCAATTTTAGGAGTTCAGGTTTAGTGATGAAAAAGGAACCACTGCAGCATTTATTATATCTCTATATTTCCCTCCAATACATTTCAAACAATAAGGTATATATGAGCATAGGAAATGCCAGGGTAAAATACTTAGCAGGAAATCTCTTCTAGTAACTGCTTGCAAAATAGGTCTCTCAGTGAGAGAAATCATCATTTTTCTTGCCTTGTAGTTTCTGTTTAGACTAACATGACAGAAAGCAAAGTTCACTTTAATTTGGTGAAAGAGTATAATATAATTTTAGGAGGAAATAAGAAACTCTGTGGAATGAAGGGAAACCAAACAGGCAAGAAGACCAAGAAAAAAGAATAAAGAAAAGAAACGGAGTCAGAGGAGAGAGGACAGATAAAGAGAAGTGGTCTGAAGTGAGGCTGTCAGCCATGGTTAAAAGTGATCTTAAAAGGGGTCTTAGAAGATCATTGGATTTAGAGGAAGAATGGACCTAATAATAGAATCTTAGAGGAGGAAGAGATTTCAGATACTATCAGAGTAAGACATAATAAGAGTTAGCAGTTATAAAGTTGTACCTAACCCAACTGTAGCTGACCAAGAATACCCTTTACAACATCCCTGAGGAGTAATCATCTAGCCATCCCTTGAACAACACTAGTGAGGCACTCTCTTCTACTGTTGGGTTATGCACTCTCTTCTTTCCCTTTTCCCCCTCCCCATTTAATAGATAAGGAAAATGAGACCCAGAAAAGTGACTTGTCCAAGTGGTGAACATTTTTAGGATATTCTTTAAAAATGTGTGTGCGTGTGTGTGTGTGTGTGTGTGTGTGTGTGTGTATAATATACACATACATACACACACACATACATATATATGTATATATACATACATATATAGTATATATACATACATATGTATAGATATATACATATATATACATACACACACATATATACACACACATATATATACACACACACATACATATATACACACATATATATGTATATATGTAATGTAATCAGTCCTGATAATCAAAGATTTCAGAGTATTTAAAAATATATTTAAACATAATATATACTTTAAAAGAAATTCAGTTGTTTTTCTATATTTAATGAAAGCCATTGGGCCATATAAATTAGTACAAAAATTTTCTGAAACAGATCTTTGATTTCATTGGTATACAGAATGCCAGTTGGTATACAGAATACTTCAGAGTTGTTGTGAAGATTAAAATGCCCAGCACTTCATAAGATCACGAGATCAGTTCTGTTACTTGGTTGTCTCTCATTACCAGGAGCTGAGAATTCCTCTTACTGAATCTCTGAAACATAAGATCAGTCTCCACTCTCTGATAGGTTCTCATGGCTTATCTCTTTAGAAGCTGTATACTTCTCTGCTCTTGTGCTCACATCTCTTCTTTTTTTATTATTTTGCTTACCTGTCTCTAGTTTCCTCCATCTACCTAAACATTCTTTTTCCACAAGTGAGAGGGCTAGGTTTGGTAGTCAAAGTCATTCACTGTCTGTGCCTTAGCCAGGCCCTTCTTCAAAGTCTCTTTGGCAGAGAGTCAAGTTACAATTGCAAAGGAGGATTTGTTGGGTTGGGTTTGATTGCAAATAGAAAATAGTGTAAAAACAAACAAAAAAACTTCAATAAGACATTTTTGAAGGACTATTATTTCATTTTCGAAGGTACTTCCTTCAGTGAGGCAGCTGGCAACCCCTTTGTGGTCAAGATATTAATTGCCATAGGAAAAAGAAAAATCACAGGTGATGTCTTATGTGAGTGATTGACTCATCTGTTAATGAGTCTGCTGACACCATGGTAGGATGGACTTCAGAACTAGTCTATTACAAGCCTATACTCAAAGACTTTTCAGCTTGGTAGGACTGGCCAGAATTAGTAATTAACTAGCATAACCCAGTTATCTCCTTCTGATGCATAATGATGCATCAGAATAGAACTTTAGTCAAGAACTGCCTGAAATAAAAAGTTAAAAGTGAGAGGGATCCTTCTCCTTGGCCCTGCATGAATGGGGGAGGGGGGGGAGATGTTTTCAGAAAAATATGGCAAGACCTATATGTACTGATACAAAGTCAAGACAGAAGAACTGGGAGATCATTATGTACAGTAACAACAATGTAATGATGATAAACTGTGAAAGACTCTGATCAATACAATGATCAATACAATACAAAGGACTCATGATGAAAAAATGCTATCCACCACCAGAGAGAGAACTGATGAACTCTGAGTGCAAACTGAAGTGTAATTTTCTTACTTTCTTTTTCTTGCTTTTTTTGAAATATGGCTAATATGAAAATATATTTTGCATGATTTCACATGTATAATTAATATTGTATTGCTTGCCTTCTGAGTGGGTATGGGAGGGAGTGGCAATGAAAGAGAGGGTTTAGCACTCAAATTTTAAAAATAAAGGAATGTTAAAAATAAATACATAATATATATATTTTTGAAAAGCTATGTCAGAACCCTAATCATCATATAGAGTTGTTTTTCTGAGCTAAGTTGTTTTAAGAAAAATAAAACCTAAAGCTTAACATCTGGAATCTCTGCATTATGACAATTATTTGGAGGTAGCTGCCTATCACATGAACTCAGTAGGAATATTTTTCCCATAATACAAACAGTGTAAGAACTGCTGTGAGCCTCCAGATGGAGGAGGTACCTTGGGTTAGGGAGTTTATTACTGTGTAATAATGGTCTGTGTACTGGGGAAGTTTAACTGTATCTATGGGAATCCTAAACCATTTGGACTATGTGTCATTTTTTTTTTAAACCAACTCTCAGTGAACTGAATCACAAATGCCCAGGAGTAAATAAAGAGCTTTAATTCTCCAAACCTATAAGATGATAGTGTCATCTCATAGCTCTTCATTCCTGAAGAAGCTATTCTAATAGCTATCAAGTCCAGAATTATATACCTGGCTTCCAAGACCCTTTTTCAATTGCCTACATCCTAACTAAGCAATTTTTTTTTTAAAGCTCACTACATTCCAACTCAACCCCACTTCATACAGAACAATTTTTTTCGCTGTACTCACACACCATAATTGTTCCCACCCCCACGTGCTCCTCTGTTCCCTTCCACCCATCAATATTTCTATCACTCTTCAAGATATCATGGTATAGAGGAAAGAATACTGGCCTGAGAGTTAAGGAAAAGCTAGATTCTTTTGCTGGTTCCACCTCAAATTGGTTGAATGGGCAAACTGTTTCAGCACTTTGTGTCTCAGTGTCCTTATCCAGGGTTAAAAAAAAAAAAAAGCAAAGGGTAATGGTCTAGCTCATCTGAAAAGTCCCTTATAATTCTAATATTCTGTGATTTTATTGCTAGACTCAAGTCCTTCGACCCCTACATAAAAAAGCCTTCCTACTATAACCCTCATTCATCCTTATAATTTTGTGAATTACTACAAAAACAGCCTATACTATGCAATTTAGCTCAGATTATATTTTATATTTTCTCATATTTGTTCTCTAATTGATTCATGTGTGATAGCCTAGTAATATTTTTTAGGGAAAGAACTATGTCTTCTATTTGTATAAGTGCCTAACATATATCAAGTACTCAATAAATTCTTTGATTAACTGACCAATTATTTAGGGTCCCTCTGAAAGATATGATTTCTTCCAGATAAATGTTTTTATTATTCCAACTATTAATGTATCTCTTTAGATGTGTGTGTGTGTATTACACCACAGTAAATTATAAAATTTCAAAGACAGCCCAAATTGTATTTCTTATGCTGTTTTGTTGGGTTTTTTTGTTTGTTTGCTTGTTTTTGCATTATCACTTTCAGGAGAATGGGCAATGATGAAAGGCATGGCTTTGGAGTTTATCGCTATCCAAATAATGACACATATACGGGAGAATGGTTTGCTGGCCAAAGGTTTGTTTTTTTGTTTTTTGTCTTACTGTTTCTTCAGTCTTACATTTTTATTTAGGCAAGTAGAAGACTCTGATATGTCTTTAGATTTATTATAGAAAATTCATAGCAATAAAATCTACAGCTCTCAATTTCTTACATGAATTAGAAAGACAGCATTCTAGAAAATATCTACCTCAGTACAATTCTATGGCATCTATGTCAGAAAACCAGATTTATGATAACTTATCAAGCCAGCCCTCCACAAGTTGACGTAGAAAAAGTTTTCACCATATAATTAGAGAAGGTAGAATTTGCACTCTGCTCTCATTATCAACAGAACATGGAGGAACACAGGAGATAGAATAGTAGGCTTGGATTCAGTGAACACATAACCAGGTTATGGTGACTGGTACTTTGACTCAGGGTGCTGAAATCTGAAGAGTGTTCACAGCACTTACCTTCAGCAATTTAAAATAACTGAGTTTAGAACCTAGGTAGCAAAAATAATTAGGTAACATAGGAAGCTATGACATGGAATGTGTTTTCTTTCCCCCACTTTATTGTTCCCCAGGTGAGCTTTCCTGCAATCCTTACATGGAGTGGAGCAGCATTACTTTGTTCTGGATTTTGTAAAACTTTCCGAGTGTAAAAATTCTAGTTATAGCTCTGAGTAGACCTTAATTCTAATTTCTCCTCTGATACTTAATTCTGTTTGACCAGAGATGAATCATTTAACCTCGTTCAACTTTAGTTTCCTCATCTGCAAAATGGGAATATCACTATATGCAATACCTATCTCACAGTGTTGTGAGCTTCAAAGAAATAAAGCACATAAATCATTTAGTAAAACTTAATGTGCTATATAAATATATAGCTATTGTCATAGAAGGTATTGTGTTGAATCCCAGAGAAGAATTACAGTCTTATACTCATTTCTAGAAAATGTGCACCTTCTCTGTGTGCCTTTTAGAGTGATATACAAAATTACTATAACCAACCACCATGTTTAGAAAGCCAAGTTTTGTTCCATGATTGGCTCCTCTGTCTAAGTACAGACTGAGGATTTTCCCCCTTTTTGACCAGTGTATGTGATAGAACTGGGCAACATATTTCCTGTTTTATAACTATGTAACTTCCTGTCTGGGATACCAACCCAAGTTACTGTCAGACTGAGTCCCCAGAGGAATGGCTATACCATATTCAAGGTGTTCTGTGGTTCCACACTCTTAAAACTCACCAGTGAGTTTGTCTACAATTATTCAGCCACAGGACACAGTTGGCTAAAAGCAAAGGCATTTACTTTGCTTGGTAAATAAGCAATGAAAGGTATAGTAATAAAACACCTTCTTCGTAAACTTGGATTATACCATCTGTCAAGGACACAAAGCATTAATTGAAAGAGTGGTATTCACATAGAGGTCAAAAGTAGAGAGGCACATACATAAGGAATATGAATACCCAGGAAGGTTGTATATTATTTACAAGTATATGCATTGTAAAAAAAAAAAAGCAACTAGCACCTCTGGTGCTGAGCCCTAAGAGCTGCTCATCCACTGTTGGTGTCCACCCGTGCCCCAGCTCTCACTTCCAAGAAGCTGTAGCATGTGATGTGCCGCGGCCACATTCCAGGAAACCTTCTCAGCAGATGGGCTATATCAGGTTGAGAGTAACAGTGAGCCTCAGATCCATAGGTGAGTTAGGGGGTGTCTATTCCAAGCAGTGAAGATGTCCCTCAGTAGAATGGTTGGATGAGAACAATTTGTTCCAAAAGGCCATGAAGGCAGCTGAAGCAGGAGCTCTTAGAGCTTGGTCAGACACCAAGGTCATCCACTGCATACTGGTCCATTGCTAATTGTCCTGACTTTGTCTTGCCACTGGACTTGGACTTGAATGACTCTGGAAGAGAGAGTGAGGCTGACAATTTTATGCAACTCTGCCTCACTTAAATCCAATTTATGTGTGAGTCAAGACATCACCCCATGATGTCATTGGTCCTCTTCAAAAGCAAAGAACAACTTGCATAAGTATATGAATTCTTTATATGTATAAGAATATATATATGTATATATTCCTTTTCAGTACTGTTTAAAAGAATGCCATACATTTTTTAGCTCTAGTTTCTCCAGCAATGTGTTAAATTCTATAATTTCCCTTTTGTTCATGTTTCTTTTAGATTTGTCCAAAACTAAGAATGAAATAAAAGTTTCCTGCTATTACTACATACATTTTCTTGTAATTCAGTTCTTTTTCTTTATAAATTTAGATCCTATAGCATTTAGAGAATATGAGTTTGCTATTGATTTGTTTTGATGTCTATGGCTCCTTTTGGCATAATGTTGTTTCTTTGTTTATTATTTATATGCTGGGAATTTTTGGTTTTGCCTTGTCTGATCATATAATTGCACCTAGAGCCACACAGAAGACTCTAGTTGAAGGAGTGCCATGTAACTTAGGAGACCGGGGTGCGGGGGCGGGGGTGGGGCAAAGGCAAAGCGGTTTGCCAGGAGAGACTTGCAGAGAAGCAAGAAAATTACTGAGCAGATCCCAGAGCACAAGCATGTTGTTCTCACTCTGTATCTCTTCCAGAACACGTGGGCTGGTTGTGGAGAGTTTTTGAGTGATGAACGCATTAGGGATTATGGATTAACCTTCTCTACTGCTAATTGATCAATTTATTATGTTGTTAGAGCTATTGGATTCTTAGTCTGTGGAGACCGTTGTAATTATTTTACCTCTTATACATAATAGGGCTAGGTAGTAGCTCAGTGGATAGAGTGCTGAGCTGGGGTCAGGAAGACATCTTCTTTTGTTCAAATCTGGCCTCAGACACTCCGCTTCACCCTGTTTGCCTCAGTGCCTCATCTGTAAAATGGGCTGGAAAAGGAAATGGCAAACCACTCTAGTATCTTTGCAAGAAAACCCTAAATGAGGTCATGAAGAGTTTGATATGCCTGAAAAAAAGACTGAACAACACATAATTCTTATTTGAATAGGTTTGAGATGTAGTAAGGATCAGAAAAAATGTCTTGTCCTCCATGTTGTTGGTGGAATGTCCCAGAAGTCCTACATAGGATATTACCCCAGGTGATTTCTCCAGGTGAACTCTACTTTTCTTCCTGCTGCCACATACTCTTGTTCTAATATGTAATTTTCTGGCTATGTGTGCCACCCCAAGTGTGTTACTCATATCTCCTTTGTACCCCTCTCCCTTTTAATTCTGTAGCTATTATCAAATCAACTCTATTGTTTTTCTGGAAAAGAGTGTGTCATTCTACTCCCTTATGCTCTGTTCACCAGTCCTGCACTGTTCTAAACCAAGATCTTCCTTCTTGGTCACCACTTCCCTGTATATACAGGCATATTTCATTTTATTGCACTTTGCTTTATTGTGCTCTGCAGATATTACATTTTTGGGTTTTTTGTCTGTTTGTTTGTTTGTTTTACAAATTAAAGGTTTGTGGCAAATTTGCCTCCAGCAAGTCTATTGGCATCATTTTTCCACCAACATGTGCTCACATCACATTTCGGCAATTTTCACAATATTTCAAACTTTTTCATTATTATTATATCTGTTATGGTGATCTGTGATCAGTGATCATTGATGTTACTCTTTTAATAGTTTTGGGGTACCATGAACCATGCCCAGATAAGACTGTGAACTTAATTGATAAATGTTTTGTATGTGCTGACTGCTCCACCTACCAGCCATTCATCCATCTCTCTCCCTTTCCTTGGGCCTCCCTATTCCCTGAGGCACAACACTATTGAAAAAATATTACATAAACTTAGCTGATAAAGCAGTGGCAGGGTTTGAGAGGATTGACTCCAATTTTGAAAGAAGTTCTACTTCTTTCTTTGTAGAAGATCTACGATGCTATCAAACAGCATTGCATGCTATAGAGAAATCTTTCGTGAAAGGAAGAGTCAAACTATGTGGCAAACTTGTCATCTTAATTTTTAAAATTACCCCAACCTTCAGTAACCACCACTCTGGTCAGTCAGCAGCCATCAACACTGAGGCAAAACCCTCTACCAGCAAAAAGATTACAACTCACTGAAGACAGAGATGATACTTGGCACGTTTAGCAATAAAGTATTTTTAATTAAGGTATATGCGTTATTTTTTAATACTATTGCACCCTTAATAGACTACTATATAGTATAAACATAACTTTTATGTACACTGGGAAACAAAAAAATTCATGACTCACTTTATCGCAATATTCACTTTATTGTAGTGGTCTAGAAGCCAGCCAGCAATATCTCCAAGGTATGCCTACATTGTATTCTCTTGTTAAAGTGTCATATTTACATCCGCAGTACTTAGCACAGAGCTTGGAATATATTAAATGCTTTAAAAATGGTTCTTCATGCACCAGCCCTGCAGTCAGGAGGACCTGAGTTCAAATCCTGGCTCAGACATAAAACACTCACTAGCTCTGTGACCCTGAGCAAGTCACTTACCCCCACTGCCTTGCCAAAAAAAAAAAAATGCCTCTTCATTCATTCATTCATTGCCATAGTGAACAGGAGAGCTGGGAGAAGTTTTACCTTTTGCTACAACTCTCTAAGAGGATCAAATCAAAGGACAAAAAAATGTATACTTAAATATCTGATTCATTGCATAAGGGCTCTCTTCTTTACTGATTCTGCAGGGCATTTGTCAACAGGGTCAGTTCCTCTACTTTAAACTTCTAAGCCCTTGCCATCCACTCACATCAATGAGTAGGCAGAGAAAGGGTTTCGGGGCAGCCAGCTTCCCTTTGTCAGTCTTCAGCCTTATTTTTAGTGGTGTTGCCCACTGAGCTGGGCATGTGTTTTTTCCCTAACAAGCAGTGTTGTGGAACTCACCTCTAAAGGCTGTGCCTCTTTTAGAACCATGCTAATTTTTAGGTCATAAGGAACAAGTTTGTAAGCCAATGAGATGTGAGGATGAGGATCTTTCAGGTAATACTGTTGTTCACTCGTTGCAAGTTCTTGCTGTCAAAGCACTCACAGTTTAACGGGGAAGCCAACACATATACAAGTCTGTACAAACAAGCTATGTACAGAATGAGTTGGAGATGATCAACAGAGGGAAGGCGCTAGAGTTAAGTGGAATCAGGAAGGAATTCCTGTAGAAGGTAAGATTTTAAATGGGACTTCAAGGAAACCAGGAGGCAGAATTTATTTAACATTTAATGGAAAGAGGACTAGATAGCATCATTATGAAATTTGCAGATCACACAAAGCCAGGTGAGAAAGCTAACCAAATAATAACAGAAGAATCTAAAAGAAATTCAAAAGGTTAGAATGTTAGGTCAAATTTAATAAGATGAAATCTATGTTAAGGACCTATGATTTATTTTGTGTAGAATGTCCTTTACTGATGCAGATTGTGAACTGTCTATAATTTAGCTCCTGAGGCTGAGAGGTTAAGAGATTTTTCTATGAGCATACAGCTAATAAATGTGTCAGAATTTGAATCTATGTCTTCCCGACACTAGGTCTAGGATGTAGTCCATTACATATGCTATTACTCATAGAATGAAATTTAATAGGGTTGAATGTAACACCTTACACTTGGTTAAAAAAAAAAACAACTTCATAAATACAAGATGAGGGAAATGTGACTATGTATTAATTCATCTAAAAAAGATCTAAGTTTTATTAGGCTTCAAGATCAGTAAGGATCTATGAAGTTTGTAAGTATCCATCAAAAGGGAAGTCCATCAGGTAATTCATAGTTTGGCTTGAATTTCAAGCTGAATGGACATCAGGCATTATCTAGTGCAACAGTGAAATAGGCAAATTCAGTATTAGGCCCCTTTGACAAAGGCATAGTGTCCAACACTAGGGAAGTGGTAGTTCTATTGCATTCTGTCCTCATCAAACCATATTTAAATTACAGCATTAAATTCTAGTTGTTACATTGTAGAATGGACATTGATAAACTGGAAAGATGACCAAAGGAGAGTGACCATCATGGTGAAATGATTTGAGGTCATACTATGTATGAAGATCATTTAAAAGAATTGGGGATATTTATACTACATAACAGAAGAACTGACAGTAACTGTCTTCAAGTCTACACGGTATTGTCATGTGCAAGAGAGGTTAGACATGTCTTCCTGGTCCTAGAGGGCACAATTCAGAATAATAAGTGAATGTTTCAAAGACAGCTTCAAGTCCTGATACAAGGAAAAGCTTCCTAAAAATTAGAGCTAACTAGAGGGAATAAGGGACACACTCTGGGATTTTGTAGAATGTATTCTTGTTTAGCTATAAATTGAACTAGATCTAGGTAGGCATCTTAAGGTCCCTTCCAGCTCTGAGATTCTATGAGCTTATAAGCATCCACCAAAGAGGAGGGCTATAATATATTTCATACTTCTGTTTTTTATTTAGAATTAGGAGAGACTTTAGACATTATCTAGTTCAACCCATTCACTTTGCAGATGAAAAATTGAGGCCCATAGGCTATCTCCTAATTGTACCTCAAAAGTAGAATCATGATCTCCACCAACCTTTGGAGCTTTAAATCTACAATGATAGGTCGTACAGTAAGTAGAAGCAGGGAAGTGAACCCAAATCATTTGACTCCTAATTCTCTGCTCTTTCCTCTACATCCTGCAATTTGGCTTTACCTTGATTTTCATCTTTTTCACCTGTGAAACTTTATTTCCTAATCAATTAAAAAAACTTTAATTTTAACCTATGTAAAATTTAAAGTATTCCTTCTCAAAACAGGCATGGGCAAGGAACTTACTTCTATGCTGAGACTGGCTCTAAGTATGTTGGTACTTGGGTAAATGGACAACAAGAGGGAACAGGAGAACTCATTCACCTGAAGCATAGATACCAGGGCAAGTTCATAGGAAAAAACGTAAGTAATTCAAAAAGTGCAGCTTTCTAATAAATGTAACTAAATATTATTATAAATACCTGTTGATGTGTAAAAGTTACAAAATAAAAATACTAAAATTGAAATTTTAAAAAATATGGTGGTACCCTGAGAAAGGACAGTACAGTGTGATGTATGAGAGCATTAAGATCCTCTGCCTCATTCATGAATCATTATCTTGCCACTTCTACTCTTATTATCAACAGAGGACTAGATTTAGGTGGAGTCAGACTGTGAGTATTCCAATAACATTTTTTCTCACATCCCTTTTCCTCCTACTTCATTGTACCTCTCCAAAAATATTAGTCAAATCTTTTAATTCCTTTTTTATAAATATATTCTTTCCTTAAAAATTTGGGAAATCAAATGTTTATTCTTCAGAAAAAAAAACTCTTGCACATTTATCATTGTGATGTTTAAAAAGTTTGAAAGACATCGTTTCTAAGCAATTGATCATTTTATTAATAATACTAACATATTACCAATAAAATAAGTCAGCGAACAAAGGGATTAGACTCATTGCTGCAAGAAACAGAAAAGGCACAAATTAAGAAGAGTAAGGTGTATAATAAATTAACCACCAATAAAATTTACAAAGAAAAATGGACAAGCAACCTGGAAGAGGTCATGATACAATGAATATGCAGTAAAAGATGAAAACCTTCAACGGGAATTTAAAAAAAAGACCACGTACAACGAATCCTCAACTTTCAAAGGGTTAATGTTACTAGAAAGCAGTGCAAAATTCAAAAACACAAGTATTGATACATTAAACCTATAGGAAGTAGGCATTAGGTTCCCACGACCACCAAAAAACTGTAATCTTTTGCTAGAGATTGCTGAAAAAACACTTTTCTGCATACAATTCTTTATAACAAAACATCAATTCTGACAATATACGCTTTTCCTAGCACAGTAACCATGAAATAATCCATAAAAATGCAGTACACAAAATAAAGGTAATATGCAAAACATTTTTTCTCACTACTTATTCCCTAGAATTCTGTGACCTTTTGTGTTAACATCAATAAAAAACCCCAACATTGATTTCAGACATTTACTTTTCATAACACATGAAATCTATAGTACCAAAAGCATGTATAGCAAATAAAATTCTTAAAACTAAAACTTTTTTTAACCTGAATCTTACCTTCTGCTACGTCAGATGGCGGTGTGAGGGTGTTGTTTTGAATGTTATACTGCTGTAAACCTCTCTACCTCGGCCACCGTCTGAAAACCAAAGAAGAGATCGGTTGGGCTTTAGTTGCTGCTGTTGGAAGATACCAAGGGTGAGGTCTCAACATCACCTCTGACACACTGTCTTTTGCAGCTGGTGGATGGCAATGGATATCATGAAGGATGAGCCAACTGTTTTTTAGAGGATATAACAGATTGTTGATTTGTTAACACAGAATTCTGGCATGAAGTTTATCAACCACCTTTATTTTCTCCCTAAGCTGCCTCACTGACTTTGCACACTTAGGCTTAGAGCCCAAAGGATTTGCACTGTGCTTTGGGAGCATAAATGCAATACAAAACTTAAGTTTCAAAGGCAAACAATGAAAATATGCAACGAATGCATGAGGAGTTCTTTACAACAACAGGGTGAACAAGACCATTGAAGTGCCTAGTAGGATACCAGCCACCCCACAGACTTGTGCACAGTGTGCCTCTCATTTTTTTCTTTGCTGCACATAGCTGTCAATGTGCAGGCTGCAACATGAAAGTGAAAATGAGGTTACTAATAAAATTATGTGAATGTTTGAAGTCCCCAAAGTTAAACGCATGAAAGCTGAGGATTGACTACTTTGTGGGGTTCCCCCGAAATAATGGAACAATGGCAAGAAATCCTATAATGAATCAAGATAGAAAAACACAAATTTAAAAGAAGAAATAAGAATTAAATTAGTGCAGAAAATAAAGCTATGAAAGAAAAAATAAGATAAATAAGAAATTTGGAATACATCACAGAAAATCTCTTCAAAATTATATGTAGGATCCAAAAAAAAGAATGACAGATTTGAAATTTGAAACTACAGGAATGGGGGGAAATTGAACAAAATGAAAAGATATCAAGGAAAAATGTGATCTCCATAGCTAGCCAGAGAAACTGACTTTGAAGGTAGAGATATTTTGTGAATAATGTATAGAGATAAAGATCATGGGTCTCTCAGATAAATACAATAAATATCATAAATATCACACTGCAAGAAATAATTCATGAAAGCTGCTCATAAATATGAGAAATGGGGGACAAGTATAAATTAATAATCCATAGATTACTAAAAGGACAAACTACACTCATTTGCTATTGTTCTTTCTTTTATCCTTCAACTTCCTTAAAATTGAGCAGCCTCAAGCACTCTACGAATACTTGATCTGGTCTAGCTACTCTACCATCTTTGTTTTCTTTAGTGTTATTGGTAATATCTCATAATATAATAGCTAACACTTGTATAGTGCTTTAAAGTTTGCAAAGTACTTTACATGTGTTATCTCATTTGATTACATCAGGACTGTGATATTAGAGTTTAAATGTTGCATCTCCATTGTTACTGAGAAAAAATGTTGATGGACAGACTGACACATCTTTTATGCTTTTTTATATATTTTCCTGCCTAGTTTCATTTTTAAGTGCTTTTGGCGTGATATGGCCTAACTGGATCTCATGAGAACTCAGTTAATATTTTTTGCAGATAATTTTGTCAAATTCTTTCTATAACTTACAAAATAAGTAGAGAAAAATTAAGTATATTGAGTGGTAGCATTAATATAACATTTAACAAATACAAGTAGAGTATGTTCTATAGTAATTCCCCCCAGACAAATATTTCATTTTATTCTCATAATAATCTTGGGAGTTAAGTTTATTATTATCCTCATAATGTATAATGAAGGATACTTATATATCACTTATTCTACTACAGTCTTCAAGTGTCTTAAAATGCAGATTTAGCATTTTGTAAGTTTTTCCTTTTTCTTTAGATATCATGTACTTTAATGCAATATACAGAAAACTTAATTAATTTAGAACCTTTTAAGTCTGGAAATCATGGAAGCTCGATCAAGGGATGAACTGAAACTTTACATTCCATTAATTATAAAAAGAATTTGCTAAGAAAATTAATGGCGTCAAGATTACTTGGGAAATACTTAGCTGCCTTGATAAAGCAGTTTTTTGAGATACTCTTAAAATCAATGTAAATTAGGCTTCACTAAGCTTTGCTTTGTAATAATCACTAATTTATAAAAATAACCTATGACTTACATTGTTCCTCCCTTAATTTTTCCATATTGTATAGGTGGTGGTATGGTATGCTCTAGGAGAGGCATTGTGATATAATGGATAAAGGGTCAGCCTTGTAATTGGGATGATGACTTGAGCTCAAGTTTTATCCTTACACAGACTGGGCAAGTTATTTAACCTCATGGTGTCCCAGGCATCTAAGACTAAGAGTTACAGACAATATATCGATCTGCATTAATGGAGAGAGTTTCAACACATATGAACTCACAGGTCTGGGGAGGAAATTATTATAAAGCATACTCCACCTGTATTATAAATTGAACCATCACAGTTTGAGGTAACATTTTGTTTCTTTTATGCATAGCCAGTGGGCCCCGGGAAATATATTTTTGATATTGGATGTGAGCAGCATGGTACATATGAACTTAAGGAAATGGTAAGTTGTATAATAGAGTATAATTAGCATATCTGTAGGTAATATGGCTTATCTACTTATATTGCTACTATGAAGTTAGAAGTAGTGTGATTTAAAAACTTAAACAACTAGGAAATAGCCTACTTTTTGTTTTATTTGTGTTTGTAAATAGAAAATCAAAATATTGATCACATTTGTAAATTGGGTTCTGTCATACTTAGTGCTTATTGTTAAAGTCTAAACTTTATTGCATGTCATAATCAAGCAGTTAATATTTAGAAAGAAAACTTTGGATATTAAATCTTTAAAGATTCAAGTGAATGTTTCAATGTTACTATGACAACATGACTGTCCTATAATTGACATTATTCATTTCAAGAGTATGGATGATGTCATATGAAAACATCCTTTATTGTATTTTTTTTCAATTATATAATTTATTGATTTATCAACAATCACTTCCATATGCTTTTGAGTTGAAAATTTTTCTCCCCCTTCCTCCCCCCCACCCTCCCCAAGACAGCGCACAATCTGATATAGGCTTTACATTTACATACCCATTAAACATATTTTCACATTATGAAGTTGTAAGTAAAAATTAAAACCAATAGGAGGAACCATCAGAAAGATGAAACAAAACTCAACAGAAGGTAAAAATAAGCGAGAGCGATTCGACCTCCATAGTTCTTTCTTTGGATGTGGACAGCATTTTCCATCCTGAGGCCTCTGGGGATGTCTTAGATCCTCGTGATGCTGAGAAGAGTTCAGTTTAAAAATCATAGTCATTGCATAACATAGCTGTTATTGTGTACAAAGTCCTCTTGGTTCTGCTCACTTCACTCAGCATCAGACCATATAAGTCTTTCCAGGTTTTTCTGAAGACAGCCTGTTCATCATTTCTTGTAGCACAACAGTATTCCATCACATTCATATACCACAACTTGCTCAGCCATTCCCCAATTGATGGGCATCCTCTCAATTTCCAATTCTTTACCACAACAAAAAGAGCTGCTATGAATATTTTTGTACATGTGGGTCCTTTTCCCATTTGTTTGATCTCTTTGGGATATAGCCCTAGAAGTGCTATTGCTGGATCAAAGGGTATGCACATTTTTGTAGCCCTTTGGGCATAGTTCCAAATTGTTCTCCAAAATGGTTGGATCATTTCACAACTCCACCAACAATGTATTAGTGTTCCAATTTCCCCACATCTTCTCCAACATTTATCATTTTCCTGTTTTGTCATGTTGGCCAATCTGATAGGTGTGATGTGGTACCTCAGAGTTGTTTTGATTTGCATTTCTCTAATCAAACGATTTAGAGCATTTTTTCATATGACTATAGATGGCTTTAATTTCTTCATCTGAGAACTGTCTGTTCATATCCTTTGACCATTTATCAATTGGGGAATGGCTTGTGTTCTTATAAATTTGTCTTAATTCTCTATATATTTTAGAAATGAGGCCTTTATCAGAGAGACTGGTTGTAAAAATTCTTTCCCAATTTTCTACCTTCCTTCTAATCTTAGTTGCATTGGCTTTGTTTGTGCAAAAACTTTTCAATTTAATGTAATCAAAATTATCCATTTTGCTTTTCATAATGTTCTCTATCTCCTGTTTGGTCATGAATTCTTCTGTTCTCCATAGATCTGATAGGTAAACTATTCCTTGTTCTCCCAGTTTACTTATGGTATCAGCCTTTATATCTAAGTCATGAACCCATTTTGACTTTATTTTGGTATATGGTGTGAGATTGGGTCTATGCCTAGTTTCTGCCATACTCTTTTCCAGTTTTCCCAGCAGTTTTTTTTCAAAGAGTGGGTTCTTATCCCAGAAGCTGGGTCTTTGGTTTTCAAATAATAGATTACTATAGTCATTGACTACTGTGCTTGCATATTTAACCTATTCCACTGATCCACCTCCCTATTTCTTAGCCAGTACCAAGCAGTTTTGATGATTGCTGCTTTATAATACAATTTAAGATCTGGAATTGCTAGGCCACCTTCCCCTGCATTTCCTTTCATTAGTTCTTTTAATATTCTGGACCTTGTTTTTCCAAATGAATCTTGTTATTATTTTTTCTAACTCTATAAAATAATTTTTGGTAGTTTGATTGGTATGGCACTGAATAAGTAAATTAGCTTAGGTAGGATTGTCATTTTTATTATATTAGCTCGGCCTACCCATGAGCAACTGATGTTTTTCCAATTATTTAGATCTGATTTTATTTGTGTGAAAAGTGTTTTGTAATTGTGTTCATAGAGTTCCTGGGTTTATTTCGGGAGGTAGACTCCTAAATATTTTATAACATCTACAATTAGTTTAAATGGGATTTCTCTTTCTATCTCTTGCTCTTGGGATTTGTTGGTAAAATGCTGATGATTTATGTGGGTTTATTTTATAGCCTGCAACTTTGCTAAAGTTGTTTATTATTTCAAGTAGTTTTTTACTTGATCTCTAGGATTCTCTAAGTATATCATCATGTCATCTGCAAAGAGTGATAGCTTTGTTTCTTCTTTGCCTGTTCTAATGCCTTCAATTTCTCTTTCTTCTCTTATTGCTAAAGCTAAGGTTTCCAGTACAATATTGAATAACAGTGGTGATAATGGACATCCTTGTTTCACCCCTGATCTTATTGGAAATGCTTCTAGCCTGTCTCCATTACATATAATGCTTGCTGAAGGTTTTAGATATATGCTATTTATTATTTTAAGGAAGACTCCACTTCTACCTATGCTTTCTAGTGTTTTTAGTAGGAATGGATGTTGCATTTTATCAAAAGCTTTTTCTGCATCTATTGAGATGATCATATGGTTATTGTATTTTTTTATAACATTAAACATTAACCAGACTGAAGTGCTTCTTTGCCTTCCAGAATAACATATACCAAGCCTTCTACTCCTTTAACATGGAAGCTGCTAAATCTTGTATGATCCTGACTGTGGCTCTACAATATTTGAATTGTTTCTTTCTGGCTGTTTGAAGTATTTTCCCTTTGACCTGGGAGCTCTGGAATTTAGTTGTAATATTCCTGCGAGTTTTCATTTGGGAATCTGTTTCAGGAGGTAATTGGTGGATTCTTTCAATTTCTATTTTACCTTATGGTTCTAGGACCTTAGGGCAGTTTTCCTTAACTTTTTTGAAAGATGACATCTAGGCTCTTTTTTTGACTATAGCTTTCAAGTAGTCCAATAATTTTAAAATTATCTCTCCTGGATCTATATTCTAGGCCAGTTGTTTTTCCAATGAGATATTTCACATTGTCTTCTATATTTTCATTCTTTTGGTTTTGTTTGATTGTTTCTTGATTTCTCATAAAATCATTAGCTCCTATTTGCTTCATTCCAATTTTTAAGGAATTATTTTCTTCAGTGAGCTTTTTTGTACCTCCTTTTCCATTTGGCCAATTCTACTTTTTAAGGATTTTTCTTTTCTTCAGTGAATTTTTGTGCCTCTTTTTTCATTTGGCCAGTACTGCTTTTTAAGGCATTCTTCTCCTCATTGGCTTTTTAGACCTCTTTTACCATTTGACCTAGTCTGTGTTACTTTCTTCAATATTTTTTTGTGTATCCTTTACCAAGCTGTTGACTTGTTTTTCAATATTTTCTTGCATCACTCTCATTTCTCTTCCCAATTTTTCTTCTACCACTCTCACATGATTTTCAGAACCCTTTTTGGGGGCTCTTTCATGGCCCGAGACTAATTCATATTTTTCTTGGAGGCTTTGAATGTAGGAGCTTTGATTTGGTTTCTTCTGAGTGTGTATTTTGATCTTCCCTGTCACTGTAGTAACTTTCTATGGTCAGAATTTTTTCTGTCGTTTGTTCATTTTCCCAGGCTATTACTTGACTTTTAACTGTTTGTTAAAGTAGGGCTCTACTTCCAGGGTGGAGGATACACTGTCCCAAGCTTTAGGGGTTTTTTGCAGCTGTTTTCAGAAATACTTCTAGGGAATTGTAAGTTTTCAGTTCTTCCAAGGTGGAATGATCTAAGGAGAGGTGTTTACTCCTCTCCTGGCCAGTGTTCTGGTCTGTGAGAGACAACAAGCACTCTTTTTTCCCTGGAACTGTGAGGAGTGTTCCCACTCCATTGTGGCCATAAGCTCTAACATGCTAGTGCTCCTCCTCACCCTGGGACTACCCCCCAGGACTGCAACCCTGATCTAAGTAGGGGTCCTACAACAAAGTCCTGCCTCACTGCTAGCAAAGGGACCCCCTGTAATCTCCTTATGACCAGTTGTTTGACCCTCTGTGGGCTGAGAGCTCCAGAAGCAGTTACTGCTGCTGCTGATTCAGGGGCTCCCAAGGCCTGCTCCTGGTTTGCTGAGGCCAGAGCTATACTGGTGCAGCCTGCGCTGGACTCATTCCACTCTCACCCGGGTGCAACAGACCTTTCCTGATGACTTTCTAATGTCTTTGGCATCTGTGGACTCAGAGGTCTGGAAAATGCCACTGCTGCACTGATTCAACTGCCCTGAGACCTGCTACTAGTTTGCTGGAGCCCAGATTGCACTGGCACGGCCTCCACTGGACTCTACTCCTCTCTTAACCCAGTGCAACAGATCTTTCCTGCCAACCTTCTAAGTTATCTTGAGCTGGAAAATTGTTTCACTTCATCTTTTTGTGGGTTCTGCCACTCTAGAATTTGTTTAGAGTCATTATTTAAAGGTATTCGGAGGGGTTTGTGGGAGAGCTCAGGAGACTACCTGCTTTTATTCTGCCATCTTTGCTCAAACGAATTATTTTCTTCAGTGAGTTTTTGTACCTCTTTTTTTTTTCTTCATTTGGCCAATTCTGTTTTTTTAAGGAGTTCTCTTCAATGGATTTTTGTGCTTGTTTTATCATTTGGTCAATTCTGTTCTTTAAGGAGTTATTTTCTTGAGCATTCTTTGTGCCTCTTTTACTAAGCTGTTCTTTTTTTCATAATTTTCTTGCATCATTCTCATTTCTTTTCCCAATTTCTCCTCTACTACTTTCACATCTTTCTTGAATTCTTCCTGGAATTCTTGCAGGGCTTGGGTCC